TTAACAAAAAAAAAAAAACAAACAAACAACAACAACACGATTTTCCATTGCACGTTAGATACACATTTAACATTTTTCCAACCGATGCGTTAAGTTTTTTTTCTTATAATTATTGTTTTTTCTTTTTTTTTTTTTTTTTTATATACCCGGATACGTTACAATCTTTTGATCTTATAATTATTTCAAATTAATCGAAACTTTTATCGTCGTTTGATTTTTATTTTCCAGCAATCACATTACAATGTATGAAAAAATTAAGAAAATTGTTTTTAAATTAATCTAAACTTATCATTTGATTTTTGTTTTTCCTTCTTAACGTTTTTCTCTTGTTTTTTTTTTTTTTTACGAACAATCTACGTCATTAAAATAAAAATTAATCGTTGCAATTAATTTACACGTAAGTAGCCTGTTTTTTTTTCTTTCTTTTTTTTCTCTTTAACTTTTTTTTTTTTTTTTTTATTTTATTTTTTTTTTGTCCTGTTCTTCTTATTCGACGTTACTTTTTATTTAAAATTACCCGTTGAATTTTATACAACGAAGTATAATTCGATTTTTCTCAAGATAAATTGTTCATCTATACTTTATTTCAATCTGATCGTACAATTTAGAAACATTTGAATTATTTTGCATCAAAAAAAGAAAAAGAAATAAATAAATAAATAAATAAAAAAAGAAACAAATGAACAAGTTTGATCTTATTTTTATTTTTCCTAGCTTTAAAAATCAAGAAAGACTTGATACTCAATTAGAATATTTTCCTTGTGTTTTAAATGTTCGTTTTAACATTACATAATTATCTATTACATAATTATCTATTACAAATTAGATAATCAATAATCTTGGTATATTATATCATAGAGTAGATCGTTCATTGAATTTTTTCTTTCTCTCTATTTCTTTCTCTTTTTATTTTTTTTTTCTCTAATAATACCTAATGAATAAATAAATAATCAACGTTAAAGGAAAAAAAAAAAAACAAATCCTATTTGAATAAACAATTTCCTTATTGATTATAATTGCATTGCATTAATTAATTAATTATCATGTTACTTCATATAAAAATTTGTTAATACCGATCTCGAATGTGAATTATTTCTTTTTACACGTGACCAACAAAAAGAATTCTATATATAATAAATAATAAAATAATAATCAAAAGAAAATGAATAAATAAAAAAGAAGAAGCAAAAAAAAAAAAAAAAAGAAAAAATTATTTATAATTTTAAACATTTTCTTCTTCGTCTTATTCATCATCATTATCATCATTATCATCAACATCATTGTGATCATATTCACATTTCTTGCAATAATTTACAATATAAATGATTAATATAGTTTGTTTTTTCTTTTTTTTTTTTTTTTTCTATATACAGTTATAAACAGTTACTTTTACAGTTTGAAATTCTAATCATTTGTTTGTCTCTCTCTCTTTCTTTCCTCTTATTATATATATATATATTTTTTTTCTTAGTATTATTAAATATGTTTCTTCATACACGTTGATATTTCTTAACAAGAATTTCAAGATTTTTTTATAATAACAAATAAAAAAAAAAAAAAAAAAAAGGAGAATTAATTAACGTGATCATTTTCATTTATATTTTTTTTTACTAATTAACAGCAGCACGTAATTATAAATGATTCGATAAAGTAACACAAATAATGAATAATTCTTATTGATAATAACAAAGCAGATTATTCAAATAATAACATTACTCATGTGGTTTATTGAAGAATTCATCAAAATCGGCATAACTCAATTTTAAATGATTCATAGAGAGACTATGTATAAGTATAAAGAGAAAGAGTGAAACAAAAGAGAAAGGAAAACTTTGAATTTACATTAAGATATCATTTTTTTACATTCCTTATTTCAATCAAAATGCACAAATTAATTAATTCATGAACTTTCTTAATACAAAAAAAAAAAAATATAAAAATTTGCACATTAAAAATTAACTGAATTAATTTATACGTTGGTAATATTTTCTCTTAACATACTTGTTTAAACATTATTCCCTATTATATGTAAATTAAAGAAGAAAAAAGATGAAAGTAAAATAATCAAATGAATGTGATTTATATTACGAGGCATCGATATTAATTATTATTATTATGAATAATAATATATATATATTTACATATTAAAAAAAGTATTTTGTGTGATTCAGAGTATTCATTATATTTATCAGAGTGAGTATGTTTAATATATATATATATATATAAGTTAAGCACGAACTTAACGAACGTAGCTTCTACTTACAGGATAATTGAATTTATTCTAAAGCATTGAATTTGAATTTAAAAGGAAAACACAATTATAACGAAATATAACAAAATAATAATTATAACCTTAATAATAAATTAGGTTCATTGTTTTTTTTTTTTTAGTTAATCATATACATATTCATGATTTTTGTATTAACATTATGGAGGTTGAGAGGTAAGGAGAACAATCTCTTATGGGTGGGGGTCTATGGGTCCAGTGTTTTCTAGAAATAATAATTGAAAAACCTTCCAAAATGGTGCTGGGTTTAAATAGAAGGTATGGTATCAATATAGCAATTATAATAATATAGTATTATATTAGAGTATAATATATAATATTAATATTCTACTATATATAATTATAATATAATAATTAATATATTTTTTTTTATTTATTTATATTTCCAGGTATACCCTACATAGGCCCCCCCCCTACATGTTCGTTCCCCTTGACAATATACTTAATTCTAATATAATAACTCATATAATATATATATTATTATATATTAGTATTATTATATATATATTATATTATATTATATATATTCGAATTGTAATATTTTAATCAAAAATCGTGAAAAAAAAAAAAAATAATATATGCCATTATGTTAGTATAAATATTTAATAATGATTACTATTTTATAAAAAAAAAAAAAAAAACATAAAAATAAAACAAATTAATATCGTTCGATAGAAATACTATTTTAGGAATATGTTAATTAAATTATCATGAAAAAATATTCGATGGTGATATGATGGCTATAATAACGTCAAGGTCATCCAATGGTGTCTCGGTTCTATGGTGACGAGAAAATGAAA